ATCATATGTTTTTTTGTTTATTTTTTTTACACTTTATGAATAGTATTTCTTAGGTTAAATAACAAACAAGTTTTTGGAATTGATTTTTTTTCATAAAGGTGTTTAAAATAACTCTTATTTTTGGTCTCTGTCTAAAAGTGAAAAAATTGGCTGTTAACAGTTGCAACTGGAAAGCTGAATTGAATATTAGAATTGTGTTATATTTGAGATTTATCAACCTAAATAAATCATTTTATAATTAATAGTGATAATTTTATTTGTGCAGGATGATATGTGGAAAACAATTGCAACATCATTAAATTCTACAGGCAGTGGACCTCTAAAAGAAGTAAAAGAGTGGCAAAAAGTATATATAAGAGATTATATTATTGTATTAAATTGTGAAAACAGAAAATACTATATTATATAGTATTACGAACATATATAAACTTTTGTAATTGTAATGTTTATCTAGACATGGCGGGACTGGAAGTCAAATGTGTTAAAAAAGTGTGCCTGCAATCGAAGTTACGCGAGTGGCACAGGTGGAGGATCACCTAAGATGTTGAAATTGACTGAGTTGGAAGAAGAGTTATTAGAAATAATAAGTCTAGAAGCGGCAGGCTTAACAGATTTACCCGAAGGAGGAAATTTTGATCGGAATAAAAAATNCCGAAATATTGAGCAAATTGCCAAAAAAAGACCACTCGATGAAAACATTAATTTATATCAAGCAATGCAAGTAAAACAGGTGAGTACTGCATTCTTTATGTGACTACAAAACCAATTTATACAGTTTACTGATTATTTTTAATGAAGAATGTATAAAATATAAAATTTTTACACTAACACAAGAAACATTTTAGAAACATAATTTAATGGCACCACACAAGTTAAGTCAAATTTATACGACAGAAGCTCCATCAACCTCTCAGAGTAGAAGTAGTGATGACGAACTACAGACAGTAAGCTACCAGTAACTCGTATATGATTTTTAATAAGCATATATAGCATATTTAGATGTTGTTCTGAGAGAAATAACCACAAACATTGGACAGGACCTGAAAGAAACTGATGTTTTTGGTGCCGAGTGTAGAGCTGAAAATATGTTTTTTAACTATTCGGAGGATGAAGTACTAAATACTGCTCAGAGAAGTTCGCCTGAGGAAGAAAGTTTTGTTCGTCAATCACAAGGTGAAAGTAATTTTCCATTAATCTTCTGTTTGTTTTATGTGACGTATATGATTCAATAAATTTTTAAAGAAACGTCCTAATTGTTTTTATTACAGGAAAAAGTAAGATAAGCAGAAAAAAGGAAGCACCTGTTAATACAGCTGTTGATTTAATGCACGAACAACTGAAAATCAAGAAAGAAAACTTAGAAATATCAAAAGAAAATTTGCGCTTAAAAAAAGAAAAATTTAAACATATAAAAAACGCCAACAATCTGATACAAAATACTTTAAACAGTATAAATGATAATATTATATATCTACGGCAAGAAGTTGAAAAAATAGCGCCATCCTATTTAGAGTAATTATAAGACATTTAAAAAAGAGCTTATATACCAAAGAACTTATATACCAAAAATTACTCACAAAGGATCTCAATTACACACAAGTCTGTCATTTTTAAGTATAAGTTTATTATAAATACATTTATTAAATATATTATAAAACAAAGTGTTGACACTTATTTCAAAAATCCTTTATTATTAGAGATATCAAAAACATAGTTTCGATTTCACCATAAACATTTATATACAAATGTTCCATGATCAGTAGGGGTAAACAGTATAGTGATTGGCCCTTTAAGGAAGAGCGTCATATAAATAATGAATTAGTAATTTTGATTTAGCAAATTTGGGAATTAAATCAGCATAAACAGTTCTAAAAAGGTGTTATAATCGAAGAATAAATACAATTT